TTACTTTTTCTGGTATGATAATCGTCGGCAGATTTTTAACGGTGCCTGTACACACTAAACTGTTTCTGAGCCGTCATTATGTAATATGGCATCTATACTGCAGTTGGCGTTAGAGGTGCAGACATATAACAATCTAAATAACGATTTTTTAAAACAGATTTTTATACGTATTGAAGTATAGTTGGCGTAAGCCAAGTCTCCGCTTTCGCATCTTAAGTTTGCATCTTGAGTTCCTTTTTTTTTCGCACTTTAAATTTTCATACCCGAGTTTTTTTTCGCAATTCCAAGCTTTTTCGCACACAAGTTTTTCTTTTTGCGACCTTTTTTTTTTTTTTTTAAAGCTTACAACAGGTGTTCTTTGCTTGGAACTGTTTTTTTTTTTAAAAAAAAATATATATATATATATATATATATATTTGAACCTATGAAATTTTTCGCTTGTTAAAGCGATGTTTTAGTTTTTTTTTAATGCAGTCTGATGTTAATGTCTTTGATTACAAACACTCAAATTAATGTCGCTATGTCTGACAAATATCATGATGATAACAGTGAAGAAATACGCCAAGAAATCGCTAATATAATTATGAACCATGCTCAAACGAATACTTAGATGCTATACATTATTGAAGAAAGAGAAGGGTATCGCAAGTTTATCTTGCCCCTTGATACGTATCAAAATTGGATAAGAGAAGAAGAGTCATCCAAAAAATTTGATTTTTTGAAACCTCATGGAACGTACAAAAATGATGAATCCAAGGCTTGGACAGAGCATTATGTTTGTTCACGTTCCGGTAATAAGCAAATACGTAATGATCGTGTAGAAGGAGGACATACACAAAAAAAACGACGTACTCAAAAAGTGTCCAAGAAAGTTGGGTGTCAATGTGATTTACGAATCAATTATTATCCAAACACTTTCTCTAATGAGATTGTCATAGCTCGCTATCGGTACAAACATAGTGGACATGTACTTGGAAGCCGCGATGATATCCAATACTTAAAGAAATCTGAAGAGACAATCACTAAAATCAAAACATTCGCACATTATGGACTATCACTTTCAGCTATTAGACAGCTAATGAAAGCGCCGGAAGAGATAACTAAAAGGTATTTGGTGATCTTTAACTATTTAATAACGTTTAATTTTCTCTAAGATCAAAAAAAAAAAATTTTTTTTTGAAAACCTTGGTATAATGCCATGAGACCACTATTAGCGTACAAATACCAAAAATATTTAAACACATATATTCTAAATACTGATCATATATGCGTTTTTATACAAACTTTTATAGATATTTCGCTTCAAAAGACGTTGTTCCAAGTAGAGATGAACTTCTTACTTATGAAGACATATACAATATTCTTTATAAAGAAATCCATCGAAAGTACCGCCATGATAATGTTGATGCGATCAGTGTGCTACAATGGGTTGATATCTTAAAAAACAATAGGGAAGATCTCAACAATCTAAATAATCCAATTTTATCATGCTTTCAAATATATGGTAATAAACAGACGTTTCAACTTGGCTTTCACACGCCCTGGCAGTTCAAACTATACCAGGATCATCATGAGGTATCTTTGCATATAGACAGATTTTTTTTAGAGGTAATGTGGCAAATCAAATGCATTATAGCTCAAGTGATTGGAGATTGGATTAAGCAAGCAGTGTCCTTTAATTTCTTCTACCGTATCGTCGCGAAATAACGCCCCGGGGCTTTATTTCGCGGCGATACGGTAAAGGAGGCATCAAATAATATTAAAATTACTTTAATTGATCACTTGAACCATAGTATATTCGATTTCCTACATTACACTCTCTTACTTTAAATATATAAAACTAAGGATTTCCTTATTTAGATCATTCACATAGACTCAACACATAGTACTACTGCTTATAAATACGCGCTCTTTACAATCTTAATTCGCCACCCTTATAGTGGCCGTGGAATATCGCTAGCATGGTTTCTTACCGAATCTTGTGACACCCAAGCAATTATGACGTGGCTTCGTAAATTGAAAGAAGATGGGTGGGAAGATCCAAAAAATGTGATTTTAGACAACGATGAAGCTGAAATAAATGCGATCTGTAGCATTTTTCCACAATCCAATATTTTTTATGTTGGTGGCACCTGAAACGTGCGTGGCGTAGGTGGATTCAAAAAAAAATCCAAAAAGAAGATCATGATAGTTTATTTTATGATCTAGATCAATTACTTAACATTGATAATGAAAGTAGTGTCAATTGTGCTATTACTCAATTTGAGGAAAAATGGAAAGATACGCCTGCTGTGTGATACTTTAATGTCAATTATAAAGTAAAAAAAGACAAGTATCATTATTTCATTCAAATATATAGCACTATAACTGGGGTTGGCTAAAACAATATATAATAATTACAGAAATGTGGATCAAATGCTATCGGCACAACCAAGTCTGAGGAACCAACACCAACAATTTTATTGAGGTGTATCACAAGAAAATAAAATACGTATACTTTAGAACACGTCTTAACCGAAGAATTAATTTTCTTATAAACGAATTGGCAATAAATATACTACGAGATTATCGACAAGAAGTAATTCAATATGAACTAAACATTGGGCGGATGGGTCCGCACCGTAAGATTCTTCGAAAGTTTGAAATAAACTCTGCTGATATTGAAGATAGTTCGATTTTTCGTTTACAAGACTCTGTCTTTATTGTTAAGTCAACACAAGGAGGAGCCGATTATATAGTTGAGCATAATAATAGTGATTTTACTTGTAATTGTGAGGCATATTTTAGAAATCCAATCCCTTACAAACACATATTATCTGTTTCACGCAAATATCATATTGAAATTTTTTTTTTTTTTTTTAATGTTAAGGTGACCACTTTGGGGTCTGGCACGTTTTATTAAACTTTGGATCGAATGC